TATGGCGTGAGCCTGTCAATTGGTAGCGGCGCCATTTGAGGCGGTTCAGGCTGTACTTTTCTTAAGCGGCACTCCAAACAGTGCGTGATTACGCTGCGTAGCAAAGTTCGTAGTTGTGGGATCCAATAGTGGCGTCGTATCTCGCATATTGTAGCCTCAGTGTTCTGGTGCCGCATAACTTTATGGTAGTGCATCACAACCAGTCTCGCGAAGTAGTGCTTTGGCGGCAATATGATGGGGTGTCTAGAGCTTATGGGCAGCCAGCTGGCGGCGTCGATGCGACCATTCACGCGGAGCACACCATCTTTGTCTATATATGGCGAGAGCTGTAGCAGCGCGCTGTTACGTGCGATATTTTGGCCGTTCTGTATCTGCTGAAATTCTGCAGCGAATACCTCTCGTTGAACAAGGCGGCACAATAGCTTCTTGGCAAGTTCGACTTCTCGCGCAGTCAACCCATATCGATTGTCTGCCTGAACACGGAGACGGCAAGTGTCCATAAAGCGCAATACCCAGGCTGCAACTCTCACCAGTTTTGTCAAGGAAGAAAAACGTTTAAAATCAATTATATTATAGTTAACGATTACCAGAGCGTATTTAGGGCGTAGTTCTTCATCATGCTCGTCTTCGCTGGGTACCACGGTGTTGTCGTTAGGCCAATACTGCTGCGGCCGATGCAGAAATGCCGGACCACATGACCAGCGGGCTGTTGCTCGGAAATCAAGGCGATTGTTCGCGCGTGTAGCTTCGTCGGCGACATTGAGTTCAGTTGGTAACCACTTCCAGTTTGATGAGTTGGTAGCGGCCAATATTTCCGCTATCCTGTGCTGAACGTACGGTTTGTAGCGACGATGTTCGCTCCTAATCCACCTGACCACTGTCTTGGAATCGCTCCACAAAGTACACTGGTTGACGTCTAGAGAATGCTCCTCTCGTATACAGCACATTAGGCGAGTCCCGAGCACGGCCGCTTGGAGTTCAAGACGAGGCACAGTTAATGACTTTATTGGAGCGCACTGTGACTTCGCGGAAATGAACGCCACTTCGATCTCGTCACTGGAACGTTTCGACCTCCAATAGGCGACGGCGGCGAAGGCTACCTCACTTGCGTCGACAAACACGTGAAGCTGTAGGGTTTTCGGCATACCCATGCGAAAATAGAACTGCGGAATAGTATACTCTACAACAGTAACCAGCTGATTTCGCCACTTCTCCCATGCTTCGTTGATGCTAGTCGGCAACGGCTCATCCCAACGAATGTCGTGCCTCCACACCTCGCGCATAATCAATTTGGCTCCGATTACAAAGTTACTTAAAAACCCTAAAGGGTCAAAAATGGACATCACGATGCTGAGCAGCTCTCTCTTGGTAGGAGGCCTCGACCCATATACAACCGCTGCGTCCACGTTATGAAATTTTAGCTTGAACCCAAAGCAATCGGTTGAGGGCTGCCAAAATAGTCCGAGGACTTTTTCCACCAACAAGCCCTCCTTCTTCGAGATAGGTCGCTTACCCTCGTCACCATCCAGCTCTTTTATTACCTTCTGTGAGTTTGACGTAAAATTTCGAAGCTCGAATCCGGCGTTCATGTGTATAGCGCGCACTACCTGCGAAACGGCGATAGCTTCTTGTACTGTACCGAAGCTATCAACCATGTCGTCCACATAGTGATGGTCTAATATGGATTTTACTGCACGGTCTACGACGCTGTTTCCATTCCGGTGTTCTAACGCGTTGACGGTTTTGACGTAGTGGGCAGCACATGGCGAACATGCAGCACCAAATGTCATTACGCACATTTCGAAGACTTCTGGCTTCCTCGTAGCATCACCTCCTCGCCACAGGAATCGTTGAGCGCATCTATCTTGCCGCCGCACCAATATTTGGTGGAACATTTCTCTCACGTCCGCACATACCGCAACTGCACCTTCGCGGAAGTGGAAGAGAATGGACGGCAACGACTTGTAGTCCTGTGGTCCCTTTAGTAGATGCGTATTGAGTGAAATACCCCCCCACCTCAGCAGCTGCGTCAAAAACCAATCGCAACTTGCCCGGCTTATTAGGGTTGGCAACGGCGAAGTGTGGCAAGTACCAGGTTGTCGACGACGACAAGGCAGCATCTGCTGGTGACAGCTTACGCGCATAACCCTTAGCTATATAGGACTCTATGATACGTTTATATTCATCAGCGAACACACCATCGCGACTCATTTTCTTTTC